TAAATGTAGGATCGTTCCGAAAAGATGGATGAACGTCAGAAATACATAGAGTAATACCTCGTTGTGGGTGCTTCCGGGCAATAAGTACGAAACTGCAAATTGAAAAGATTATCAGAACGACCAAAATGAAAAATTTGGTGGCCCTCTTCGTCAAAATTTCCGACGCGGAATTCTGCGAACAGTCAGTGAGCACTTTCGCGTTGGTCAACAATTTATCAATATAGTTATTTCTCTTTCAAGATTAAGCTGCTCTGACTCCTATCTGTGCTGCGTGCTCCTTTTGCCCCTAGTTTTCACACAAACTAACTTGGTTAAAAGGTGAATATAAAAACACATTTCATGGACAGATTTACCAAGGCTGCAGTTACCAGGGCTGTTTCACACTGGCACTTTAGATGCTCTGAACACTGTGGCCACACTCGACTGTCAGCAGATATTACACCGAAAACAATGCAGTGTCACTTCGGAGGAGCCTTTGAGTGGATCTAGGGAAATCAAAAAATTTGACGTGGAAAGGCAAACCGACATGAACTTACGAGGTTAGTGCTTCAATACATTTCTATTTCTGTTCTTATCTCCTTATTATTTAACCATATAGCATGTTTTCGTAAGCACGACGCAGATGCTAAGTAGATACCGCATTCGGTTACAGCTCCGACAGGTTAGTGCTTCAATACATTTCTATTTCTATTCTTATCTCCCTATTATTAAACCATGTAGCATGTTTTTGTAAGCACAACGCAAACGCTAAGTAGATAACGCATTCGGTTATAGTTCCGATGCCATGAGGTTGGTGGGTAAGACCGAGTAATATAGGATGCAATCAGTTAGCCGGTACAAATACCTCAGCTAATTTAGGGCCGCGACCGTTAGGCTCGTCCCGCCGGAACATCATCATTGTCATCGTCGTCAGATGTAATAACCGCTGCAACATGGTTTGAAAAAATTTGAAGCCAACAAAGCTGGGTTTTTGGCCAACCGTAGCCACCGTTGACTGTGAAACGTGCCTGAAGAATTTCAAACACATCCTTTAGACAACTTCCGCCACCAAGTATACCTGTAACCTACGCCTTCTTTGACCAAGGTTGGACACGGTTGACTCCACTAATACCTGACAAGAATATTTCAAGATGAGAGCACGCGCTTTTATTGGACAACCGTCGTTCTCATTTAGTGTAGTCGGTGTGCGGATTCCCACGTCCAACATACCTGTTCATTCTACATCTGGAACCCAGTTTGAACCTATTTCAGCTGGATTATAAGTGAGTCCTCGAGCAACTAGCTTACCACACAACACCAAAAACCTAAATGGCAGTCATAAACTTTGGCAAGATCTTGCCCAAACTCCCCTTGTTCAGGTTAGTTAATGTCATCCGACGGCTCCCGGTGACCTGAAACGTATGAGAGCAAAAGAACTCAAGGCTCGACTCTCTACCATTTGTACAAGTCCGTGAAAACAACGAAGATAACGCCAGTTTACGAAAGCGGCGTTAAAGAAACTTCAGGTATGTAAGCTTGAAGTTTATTATCATGGTATCAGGAACAGGCATTCAGTACTTAATTAAATCTTACGCTCGTTTTCAGAAGAAGGGAATTCTTTCTCAGGGGCGTTCACATAATTAATAAGCATCATTGTCAATGTTAACTGCTCCTCCGTTCATGTAGTTGTGAATGAACCTTACTGCAAACATTATAACCATATCAACTTAGACCGAAGAAACCCGAAGGATTATAAGACGCGGTATTAATTCACCTTTGGCAATATCGAAATTGAGGTGGTTAAAACAAGTTCAATCACTACTAGCAATTTGGCACATGGTGAAAAATTCATTTGGTTTCATCGCTTCTGAACTGGATACTCAATGAAGAGAGACTGTCGACTAAGCTCACGATTGCGCAGTTCAGAACAGAGAAACTGATAATTTCATATACTTTGGACGATGTGTCCATGCAAGGCTAGCCTTCCCCCCGAGCATCACTGTCGTTTGTAGTCGACGGGGGTGCTGTGATTGAGTAGAAACTGTTATCCGGCGTCGCGGCCAGTTCCGTGGCGAGGTCTTGAGAGCACAATGGTCCATTGCTACCATCTTGTCGGCCATACGTTTGGGATCAGCTGGACAGTCGCGATGCACGAGCTATTTTCCGCCTCCCCTCTAGGATCGCTTCGGCTCGAGTCTCGCACTTCTAGGGTCGATCCTCAGATGTGTGCTTCATCTTCGAGTAGGCCTTTCAAATTTTGGCAGTCCGCTCCAAGATCCCCTGTACGGCAGTTGGGGTTTTTTCTTCCGAAATATTACTGTGTGAAACGTTCCGTATTCAGGCCTTGTGACGAGTCAACCAAGGAGCGACGTTCTCTATTTTTTGGCACGATGTTTCATGAGAAAAACCCATAGGTGAGCAGCCTGGACTCCTTCACGCGCTTATCCCCTACTAGCATCCTTGGGTTATTTATGGTTAGATCAGAGTGCTGGACAACCATCATCGCAGCCAACGGATCCGGAATGGATAGCGCTTGGTACTCGTTCAGGGAAGAGGCCTCTCCATCAAATGGCATCCAAGCCGTTTCGTTCTTTGTGGTTTTACCCTCCATAGCTTTGGAACGAAGTAGCAGCTTTTCATGAAACACCCTGATTGAAACAAAACATCCGCACTGGTCTCTCAGACCCAGAAGTGGATACATGGTTTTGTTATTCACGGCTGTCTTGTTAGGTGTGGGTTGCAGCTGGCGCTGACAAACTGGTCAGGAGAGTTAGATAATTGATTTATCTGGTCGTCTTGGTAACCCATACATTTAAAATACCATTTGGTCTGGCAGGCATCTCGCTGCACTTACACTCAATGGACACCCATTTCGTCCGCATCTCTCGTGGTCTGCCGATGGCCCCAAAGGAGAGTAGCCTAGTTGATTTGGCTCATGATAGAAAGTGTATGCACTGCAGTAATGGGGCGCCCTCTGACAGAAGTTTTCACGCACTTGTTATGCTGAGGTAAAAGATTCAACAAAATGACGCATGTAATCGATTAAACAACGGAAGGATCCCTCCACAGATTTCCACCATAAAAAAGAAGCCATTTTAAGATTTGCGCATGAGTCACAACGGTTCCAAGTGGCTTCGCCATACTGTTCTATCCCGACGGTTTTGAGGGGCCGCAAACGCTCTAAACATGAAGTACGCATCGACCCCAGTAATCCGGATGTCAGAAAATAGACTTCCGAACACATAAGTACCCGAGAAGGCGAGCTTATGAATCGGTCACCGTCATGCATTGCGCGTCTGATTCGAGGGCTTTGTGCCTCTGCACACTTCGTTTTGTTTATTTCAGGAAATTATGGAGAGAGGTATTTTGTGAAGACATTCGGTGTTGCATGACCTTATCACCAGGTGAGCTTAGCCCCAACGGTCTCTCAATGTGAGGAACACTATAGAGCAACGCATGGCCACTAAGTTACACTGACAGTTGTATATGATGCCAAATGGTGTCTAGATTTTTAGTTCGGGTTCTTCGGGTACCACGTACACCGGCGCAATGCGTAGATTTCACAGCTGTTCCGCCTAACCATTAGTGTGGCTGCTGTTTCCACCAATTGACATGGTTTATGAGTTTTGCTCCGCAGACTTCCAGTTTGCATATATGGTGTAGTGAGTTAACAGCCCATAAAGCAGCGGTGGCTGTTGATGTCAAACTTCCAGGAGAGTGGTATAACATCGTTATGAGTTTTGCTCCGCAGACTTCCAGTTTGTATATATGGTGTAGTGAGTCAACAGCCCACAAAGCAGCTGTGGCTGTTGATGTCAAACTTCCAGGGGAGTGGCACAACGTCGTCGTTGGCGGAACGTCCCCTCCCAACCCACCTGGCTGTTTTCAGAATCAGATCCGCCGAACCGATGAAAAACAGAAGTCGTCGAAGAAAGCCGATCGCTACCTAGCGGATAAAAATTATTTCTCGATAGCTATGATGTCACTGAGATAACCGCTTCGGAGTTTGAAATTCTTTGTTACTTGTGCTTATGTGACTTGTGTTGCAACCGATTTATTTCAGGTGCGCACTGTCCAAGTAAGGAAATACCTCTGATTAGGAAACAGCGTTCAGTGAATATGATGACTCAGCCTGCCGGGAAATACGGTTCACTTAGGACGGACCAACGTTGAAGGCAGTCCTGTGGCTAGCTATGGGAGTTCCCGCAGCTTACAATGCACTCGCTCAGGCGAACCATGCGCAATTATCACCGCAGTATTTAATGTGCTTATGGTGGCCTCTGGCCGGGAAGAAGGATATTGAAGCCTGTGTTTTCGTATCGGGAGCAACGTAACTCAGGTTAATCGCCACATATAGACTCACCGACCTCGGGAATACGTGCGAAATCAAAAAAGGATGATTTCTAAAATATAGATCAAATGGATAAAAATGCTTTTGGACAGATACCTCATGCATCTCTGCTGTAGAAACCTAGTTCTGATGGTTTTCTTCTATTGAATTATTTTTCTCTCTTATTTTTCTCTCTCCTATTTCGTCCCTTACTTATCTCATAGGGCATATATAAAACAACTTAGAGACGGTTGTCCACATGATCGATCGTCATTAATGTCATTTAAAGGAGCCTAATAGGTCCCATCATTTTCCAACTGTATATCAGCATAGTCTTCAGCACCATGCCCCATTGCAAACCCTTCCCATTTGCAGACGACAAAAATCAGCCAAACAGTTTTTCCTCTTCCCAAACTTTTGTTTTCACCAAATCCTGCAATATTTAGAGGCTTAATTGCTGGTCAAATGCCTCTGGTATAATATTCCTTTTTGCCAAGCTCCGAATAACTTTTTGCAACTGCTCCCGTACAGCTACCATATTCACAATTAATGGGAACCTCTACAGAGTTCAGACGAATTGCTCGCAGATACTCAATACCTTAGGTATTTCACATCAGTTCTGGATTCGGATCTCAAAGTTCATGAGCTCTGTTCTCTAATATTGCCCTCCTTTCATCTTCAAATCATAAAGATCGCAATTTTTAGCTATTCCTGTGACCAATCATGGAATTGTCCTGCTCCCCCTATTTTATATACCCAAAGTTGAAAACTATCACCTGGAAAAGTCCATCGCTCATTCCCGCAATCCAGCCACCTCTCCCACCACTCCCGTTGCAGAACATTAGCTTTAAACCACAACTGATTGGACAGTTTAAGCTAAACCTAAGTCTCATACACCGTCTGTTGCACCAAAATCCCTTCATAGCAGAGGCCACGCCAAAAGCTAATTCACATCCTCGCTAAAAATCCCACGATTCCACTAACCTCTTATTGGGGCCTTTAGCTCGTACAAACGCACGCCACTATATTTTGCCAGGTTACTAAGCTCGTTTTGGGCAGCGTCAAGAATATTGCGCAGCGACTGATGTAGACTTGATCAGGTCTAAACCAGCATGGGAAGGAGGACACAGTTATAAGGAGTTTTATAAGGAGTTTATCTTACTTCTGAGGGAGCAAATATCAGGCTGAGAAAAAACGGATCGTTAAGGTTAGAATTTGGCGGGCAAAAATTAAACAAGATAAGTGCATGATGATAAAACTTCAAATTGCGAAAACTGATGGGCTAGAAGATCGAATCTCGTGCGGTGGCTGGACAGCCATGGTCTGGCTAGTTAAAATGAACTAAAATCCGAAGCCACTGATGAGATCCCTTCGGCCTTGAGCTGTTGGGCTTATGGCAAGGGTCATAAAAAGCTAAAGTTTTTCACGGATTTACGGATAGATATACAGGATCGGGGCTTTCGCCCAAGTTTCCGGGTCGGTTTTGTACTCATGGCGTTCAGTGGTTGTCGTTTCCCTGAAAGACACAAGTGAAAAACGGTGTAGCACTGCTCTTTATGTTCTAAGCCCAAGGCAGTATGTTTGCCAGCGCGAGGATTCGCATAAATAAATGTCTAATGGCGCTTTAAACTGGGTTCTAGAAGGAGCGTGAACAACCGTCGAAGAAGGGTCATTCCACGCAGCCGAAATGATAGAAAAATTTGTCTAAAGAATGTGTGTGCTCTGAGCTTGAAAATTTTCTTGCTATGTCCCCGTCCTGTGCTTGCTGGGCCAGCGGAAAAGTCCTGTTTGCCAAGCTTTGTTCGAACAGGGCATAAGTAAGAACTAGTTCCCCTCGGAGGCGACGGCACTCCAGGAGAAGGAGATCAAGCACCGTGAGACGAATTTTGTAGTCCACGGATTTCAGGCCGGCAACCATTCTCGGAGCCGCTCGCTGGACATGCCCAATGAGAGTGACGCCTTTCGTGCGTCCTGAGGGGAAAACTTTGCTGGCGTATTCCCGTGGCGGTTTGACATAGGCCTCATAGACTATTTGGAAGTCCAGGCGAGTAATACGGAGGAAGGTGTGCAGAATCATCTGTAAAGCAGAGAATACTTTTGGGCAGATTTATCACGGTGCAGTGAGAACTGCAAATGTGAAGTGAGCCAGACACCCAAATCTTTTTTGGAGTCTATCCTCATGATATTTTCTGATCCTTTCTCACCATGCATGATTAAGTCACTCACTTAGTCTTCCAAATGACAAACGGACGCACTTTTCATCATTCAGAGGAAGGTGCCAGTCCAACGACCACTGCTTGGCAGCGTCTACATCCATTTTGAGGGCACTGGCATTGGAAGTCCAGGATTTCACGTCAAAAGTCAAAAAGTAGACATGGACTAGCAAGAACATCTGGGAGGTCGTTGACGTAGATCAGAAACAGCAGTGGTCCCATGACGGAGCCTTGAGGAACTCCAATGGAGCCCGGCGCTGGAGAAGAGTAGGTCAAGCCTTTTCTCACACGGAGTGATCTGTCTAATAGGAACGCCTTGATCCAGTGAAGGATTTTCACTTGAATCCCGTAATACTCAAGGTTGTGGAGAGCGGTTTGGGAGAAATCGGTGTTGAGCTCGAGATATCAGGTTGCTGGAAGTAAGATGATCTAGGATAGCTCGCTTCAGAATGCGTTCCATCAACTTGCACGGCACGCTAGTGAGGCTTACAGGCCTGTGGCTGCCAGGGCTGATGAAGTAGAGAAATCAGTAATACTGATAAATGGTGGTCAGAATCCCATAGTCATGATGTACACCGAAACTGTAGAGACTCACTAGTGTCACTGATGCTGTGGGGACTGCAGCAAAAGCTCCTTGGGAGTATTTTCGGTGCTGACGCTTTGGAACGCGAACTGCACAGAAAGTGACAGATTTTATTAGGAGCATTTGATGGAGGTCAAAGGGATATTTATATCCAAAACGGAAGGTTCATCGGTTCGGAATGAACGGGTCAAGGAGGCGGCTGGGGCCAGGCAAAGAATTTCTTTGCAGCTGTAGGTAGGGGCATGAGTGGGCGATGGCATCCTCAAAAGTATGAAGTGAACAGTTGCGGGTATGCTATTAAACATGGTATGGCAGTGTCACGCATTCGTTGAAAAGACATACTTCGGTTTCTGGGATACCTCGTGACGGACATCATGTTTGAGGTGTTTTGGCTGGGGTCCGAATCGGTTTGGTCGCGGTCGAGGCGTGAAAAGTAGAGGGAGTGGGATAAGATCAGTAAGGCCTGATGAGATTTAGGAGGTGTCAGGTAGGAGTAAGTCCTAAAACAGAAGGAGAAGAAACTGAACGTTTACCACAATAAGGATAGTGACATCAAGCTACTGAATGAGACAGGATGTGGGCAGATGTGCACACAGTAGCCTGGCGATCAATGACTCTCCAAGCCTGCCAATATCAGCAATTATAATACCAGAGATAGAAAAATCACTATATATACACAGAGACTCAATGTGGTAAGAGGAGGCGAACACAAGGAGTGACGGGGGTGGAACCTCCGGAATGATGGACTTCATTTTGTGGGGGTTATTACATGCACTGGACAAGGCCATAATCTAAGAGGGAACGTGACTGCAAGAGCAATGACCCCTGTCCCCGAACACTGTTGACAGCTTCAGTTCTCTTTTATGGATTTCCTGAACCGGATTCAAAACCACCGGTTGTGCGCGATGAACCTGTGCTACTGTAGGGGTGGCGGGTACATGAACGTACCATGCAGAGCGCACCCCAAGACACGAGGTTTTCATCCCTCGTGCATGCTACCAGATCCGCAAGGAGGAAAACCACCATGCAGTCGTGAATGCAGCTTGTGCGTTCCATAAATTACCCCGGCTACCAGATCTTTTTTCCGATCAGGGGAGGCCAGGCCAGTAAGACAGTTCAGTCAATTCGGATAGGTGAACAGCAAACAGACGCCGGTAAAGTCAGGCCGCGATGGATGCAAGTTAAAATGGCAGTTTCCAAATGGACGATGGGAATGGAATGAGGATATTTAGAGTGAGTGCATTATTGACAATAAGAGCATTGTTTTGATTTGCCATGCCAAGCGGAAGCGTACCGCGATGTTATGCGCCAGCGTTTGGTGGGCTGCGGAGCACACCATCAAGTTGAGTATATATACATATTAGCTTATTGAAGGAGCGCTGACTTCAATTCGGATTTTGTTAGTTAGGGCTATGCCAAACAGAGCACCAGTAGTTGAATAGAGCTGGCAGAGTGGTCCAAGGTAGAGACTCGGCTAGTACAATATATGAGACCCCTGGAAGTGAAAAACCGGGCCAGTAACTGTTGGGGATGTCAGTATCCCCAAAAGCTGCTTATTTTCCGAGTTATTGCCAAGTTATTTTCAAAAATTTTTGAATTTTTTAATTT